TACTGTACAATTGACAATTTCTTGCTATTGCGCAATATTGTGCTATTGGATATTTCTTGCTATTGCACAATACTGTGCAATTGAAGATTTCTTGCTATTGCGCAATACTGTGCAATTGAAGATTTCTTGCTATTGTGCAATACTGTGCAATTGAAAATTTCTTGCTATTGCACAATACTTATTATATAATAATTTACACATCCTGTTTGGTGTGTATCTCCTACCATATCATTATTATTTGCTTTTAAATATTAATCAGAAATAACCAACTTAAAATGGAAAATTTTAAAAGAAAAAAAAAAGGAAAAAAAGAAAAAAAGAAATCCCCCCCCCCCCAAATTTTTTGAACCCCCTTATGATTCATCACCCCCAAACTCAATCCCAGCCTTCCCTTTGTGGTATGGTACCTTGCAGTACAATTTCAGAGAGATCCATACACTTGAACACAAGTTATTGTCTGGAAACTAGAAAAATGCTTATTTTTGGCCCCTTTTTGGCCCCCAATTCCTAAACGTTTCGGGCAATTACCCCCAAACTCAATTCCAGCTTTCCCTTTGTGATATGGAACCTTGTAGTACAATTTCAGAAATATCCAAACACTTACACACAAGTTATTGTCATGAAACTAGAAAAATGCTTGTTTTTTGCCCCTTTTTTGGCCCCTAATTCCTAAAATTATGAGGCAATTACCCCCAAAATCAATTACAGCCTTCCCTTTGTGATATGGAACCTTGTGGTACAATGTCAGAGAGATCCATACACTTACATACAAGTTATTGTCTGGAAGTTACAAAAATGCTTATTTTTGGCCCCTTTCTGGCCCCTAATTCCTTAACTGTTGGTACCATAACCCCCAAAATCAATCCCAACCTTCCTTTCGTGGTATTGAACCTTATGGTAAAATTTCATGGAGATCCATTCACTTAAACTAAAGTAAGAGTGCGAAAACCCATGTGTCTTCGGACGACGCCGGACGACGCCAGACGACGACGACGACGCCAACCTCATACCAATATACGACAAAAAAATTTTTAATTTTTGCGGTCGTATAAAAAATAATACAGATCTGCAACTTATCTATCAATGTCAAAAACTTTATCTCATAATAAAAATAGATTATTATCTAATTAAAAACAAGTTTAGATTCAGCACTTAAAGAACCCTATATATATTTAATTTATGTTCAAATATAACACACACAAACTGATTAATTTTCCCAGGGGACCTGCCCTTTATTTCATAAGATTTGTTTTTTTGTCCCATACAAGGATATATATGGTTTAGGGGCGGGGATCTCAACTATTTACAAGTTCTTAAACAGTAGGAGGTGGGAATGACCCCAAGGAACTCACCTTTTATTTCATTTCATTTGTTTTATTGTAACATACAAGAATATATATGGTTTCGCCGTGGGGATCTTGACCATTTACAAGTTTTCAAAAAAAAGGAGAGTAGGGGTTACCCCAGGGGACTTCCCCTAAATTTAATTTGCTTTAATTTATTGTCCCATACAAGTACATATATGGTTTAGGGGTGGGGATCTCAACCGTTTACAAGTTTTCAAAAAGAAGGGGGTAGGGTTTACCCCCCTGGACTTCCCCTATATTTCATTTGATTTGATATATTGTCCCATACAAGAATATATATGGTTTCTGGGTGGGAATCTTGACCATTTACAAGTTATCAAAAAAAGGGGGGTAGGGGTTACCCCAATGGACTTCCCCTATATTTCAATCGGAAAACAGAAAATTTTCAAATAAATCTGTCACTCCAATGATTATCATATGCTAAAATATTTCAAAGATCTAATTAATAATGAAAATAAATCATTATTATATGCTGAAATATTTATAATATCTAATTGAACAGAACTATGGTTGTTTAACATAGTACTCTAACATAATTAATAATGTAATAATCTTCAGAATGTCTAATGATATAGCTTATAATCATTACCACTTAGGAAATAGATAATTTTCAAATAAATCTGTCACTCCAATTTTTATTCTGAGATAAGACAAATCATAAAAAGATAACAACAGTAAAATATTTTAAAATTCTACTTTTGGATATTAAAAATGGCGATAACTCACAAATGAGATATACTAAAATCTTGAAAATTAATAGAGACCTTCATTAAGTCCCAGGAAACAACATATTTTAATTTGAAAAAAATTTGTTAAAGCATTTTCATGTTATTGTGCTGACGCTGTTTGGCAGCCACCAGAACCGCCCAGCCACCCGCCGTATATAACCATTTTAATAACCGATATTTCCTTCGAAAATCCGGTTAAAAATTCAGCAATTTTTCTATTTGTAAACACGCATAACTCTAGAACGGTTGTGTATAAGTTTTATAACATTTGGTTGATACAAACTAAAAAATTCAGCAATTTTTATGTTTATAAAGGGACAAAACTCAAGAATGGTAAAAGTGTCGCCACCAAATTTCTTACTTAATCTGCATTATGTAGTAATAAGCATTGTGTATAAGTTTCATAACATTTGGTTGAGGCAAACTAAAGTTAGAAAATGGAAACAAAAAATTTGTACTTGATCTTAGTTTTGTGGTAATGAATATTGTGTATAGGTTTCATAATGTTTGCTTGGGGCAAACTTAAGTTACAGAATGAAAACTAATAATTTTGCAATCTTTCGATTTACAAAGGGGCATAACTCAATAATGGTTAAAGTGACACTACCCAAATTCAACTTGATCTGTGTTTTATCAGTGGAAGTCAAAATTAAACATTGCATTGTATAAAGCATTGATTGTAGTTGATTCAACTATAATCATGGACAAAGGAAGATAACTCCAATTTTAATAAAATGCTCCGCTGGGCGCAGCTTGATAGGACCGAAGAGGTCGAACCCTGAACAGTTGGGGCAAGTATGGACACAACATTCAAGCTTGATACAGCTCTGAATTTGGATTGTGATTAAATATTTGACACAGCATAGGTTTCTGACACAGAATGAATGTGGTCTAAGAACTTAAGAATTTTTAATTTACCTATTATGGTCCAATATCCAAAATCTAAATACATAAATGGTTATATTCAGTAAATCAAAGAACCCCAAGAATTCAATTTTTGTTAAAATCAAACTAAGTTTAATTTTGGACCCTTTGGACCTTAATGTAGACCAATTTGAAAACGGGACCAAAAATTAAGAATCTAAATACACGGTTAGATTCAGCATATCAAAGAACCCCAATATTTCAATTTTTGATGAAATCAAACAAAGTTTAATTTTGGACCCTTTGGACCTCAATGTGGACCAATTTAAAAACGGGGCCCAAAATCCAAAAACTAAATACATGGTTAGATTCAGCATATTAAAGAACCCCAAGAATTCAAGAATAAAACCCCATTGAAATTGGTCAAGAAATAAGCAATTTATACAAAGTATCTTCTTTTGCACAATACTGTGCAATTAAATATTTCTTGATATTGCGCAATACTGTACAATTGACAATTTCTTGCTATTGCGCAATATTGTGCTATTGGATATTTCTTGCTATTGCGCAATACTGTGCAATTGAAGATTTCTTGCTATTGCGCAATACTGTGCAATTGAAGATTTCTTGCTATTGTGCAATACTGTGCAATTGAAAATTTCTTGCTATTGCACAATACTTATTATATAATAATTTACACATCCTGTTTGGTGTGTATCTCCTACCATATCATTATTATTTGCTTTTAAATATAAATCAGAAATAACCAACTTAAAATGGAAAATTTTAAAAGAAAAAAAAAGGAAAAAAAGAAAAAAAAGGAAAAAAAAAAAAATCCCCCCCCCCCAAATTTTTTGAACCCCCTTATGATTCATCACCCCCAAACTCAATCCCAGCCTTCCCTTTGTGGTATGGTACCTTGCAGTACAATTTCAGAGAGATCCATACACTTGAACACAAGTTATTGTCTGGAAACTAGAAAAATGTGTTTTTTGGCCCCTTTTTGGCCCCAAATTCCTACACAATTAGGGCAATTACCCCCAAACTCAAACCCAGCTTTCCCTTTGTGATATGGAACCTTGTAGTACAATATCAGAAAGATCCATACACTTACACACAAGTTATTGTCCTGAAACTAGAAAAATGCTTGTTTTTTGCCCCTTTTTGGCCCCTAATTCCTAAAATATTGAGGCAATTACCCCCATCATCAATCCCAGCCTTCCCTTTGTGGTATGGTACCTTGCAGTACAATTTCAGAGAGATCCATACACTTGAACACAAGTTATTGTCTGGAAACTAGAAAAATGCTTATTTTTGGCCCCTTTTTGGCCCCCAATTCCTAAACGTTTCAGCAATTACCCCCAAACTCAATTCCAGCTTTTCCTTTGTGATATGGAATCTTGTAGTACAATTTCAGAAAGATCCATGCACTTACACACAAGTTATTGTCATGAAACTAGAAAAATGCTTGGTTTTTTTGCCCCTTTTTTGGCCCCTAATTCCTAATATTTTGAGGCAATTACCCCCAAAATCAATCCCAGCATTCCTTTTGTGATATGGAACCTTGTGGTACAATGTCAGAGAGATCCATACACTAACACACAAGTTATGTCTGGAAGTTACAAAAATGCTTATTTTTGGCCCCTTTTTGGCCCCTTATTCCTTAACTGTTGGTACCATAACCCCCAAAATCAATCCCAACCTTCCTTTTGTGGTATTGAACCTTGTGGTAAAATTTCATAGAGATCCATTCACTTAAACTAAAGTAAGAGTGCGAAAACCAATGTGTCTTCGGACGACGCCGGACGACGCCAGACGACAACGACGACGACGACGCCAACGTCATACCAATATACGACCACAATAATTTTTTTGCTGTCGTATAAAAAATATTTAGTCAAAGTCCTATAACTCCTGCAAAAATTGTCAAACTAAACTGTTTATATATCCGATCCAGTGTGAAAGATATATGTTAATATGTATATGTGAGTATTTATGTGTTTCAGACAGACAGACAGATCTAGACCAAAACTGTATTTACCTAGTTCATCCCCTACTCCATCAAATTGTGGAATATCACCATCTGTTTCATCTTCAGCATCTTTTTTTAAGAACTGTGACATATTCCAAGTGTCATCTAAACCTTCTAGATTAAAGTCAACAGATCTAAAAATAAAAAAGAACACTAATGGGATATTTTATAATACTTACTAAAAATACGATACTGCTGTACATTTTACAAACGAAAGTGAACCAACGCTCGGTGAATCTGTAGTAGGGAGTCCCTGAAGTGGATACCTCAGGTATAATAACTCCTCTATGAAGATGAAGATAACTCCTATATGAAGATGTCTGACAGTTTTGACCTTTATGGACAATTGGAAGAGCTCAACATTCTGAACATATCTGCCCCTGTCAGATTTCCTCTGTTTATAACAATTTTCAAAATAATAGACAAAACTTGCATTTAACCCCTATGTTTTATTTTCAGCCAAGTCAGCCATCTACTTTGGCAGGCAGGGTCATTGGACACATTTTTTAAATTAGATACCCCAATGATGATTGTGGCCAAGTTTGGTCTAGTTTGGTCTAGTTTGGCCCAGTAGTTTCAGAGGAGAAGATTTTTGAAAAAGTTATTTGATCAGAAGTTATTTTCAAATTGCTGATATAAACCTAAGATACAAGTTTCAAAAAATTCTGGCAAAAAATGAACAAATGAGAGAGCTTACAATGCAATTTTCCATAAAATCAATATTTCCAAAGCGCTTAACTCTTTTATAAATAATTGATCGGCACTGATTTTTGAACTCTTCAAAGACATTGATGATATAAACCTATAATATAAATTTCATAAACAAGAGGCTCATGAGAGCCTGATATCGCTCACTTGTAATTTCAGTTTCAGGCATTTGACTTATTTGTAGATTTTACTTTGCTGAACAATTTTGTCATTTACACTTTCTCTCTTTCTATAATGAAAGAACCTTAGTGAGCGCGCTCACATACCCCACGTCCCCACATTATCATTGGAGAAATAAAATAAGTGTAATTATTATCTACACAGTTTCATGAAATTCTGTTGTGTGGTTTGAGAGGAGTTGCGATGACAAAAGGTTGCAGTAGTATATTGGGCAAATAAGTTCAAACGGGCATAACTCCTGGAAAAAAATTGAATCATAATTTCCTGTCGATATGCACATCTACGTAGTATGTCCTTATTATCTGAAAAGGTTTCATGAAATTCTGTTGTGTGGTTTGAGAGGAGTTGTGATGACAAATTGTTGCAGTAGTACATTAAATTAAATAAGTTCAAAGGGGCGTAACTCCTAGAAAAAGAATTTACTCATAATTTCCTGTCGATATGCACAACTACGTAGTATGTCCATATTATCTGAAAAGGTTTCATGAAATTCTGTTGTGTGGTTTGAGAGGAGTTGTGATGACAAACTGTTGCAGTAGGACATTAAATTAAATAAGTTCAAAGGGGCGTAACTCCTAGAAAAAGAATTGAATCGTAATTTCTGTCAATATGCACATCTACATAGTATTTCCTTATTATCTACACAGTTTCATGAAATTCTGTTGTGTGGTTTGCAAGGAGTTGTGATGACAAAAGGTTGCAGTAGTATATTGGGCAAATAAGTTCAAAGGGGTGTAACTCCTGGGAAAAAAATTGAATCGTAATTTCCTGTCGATATGCACATCTACGTAGTATGTCTTTATTATCTGAAAAGGTTTCATGAAATTCTGTTGTGTGGTTTGAAAGGAGTTGCAATGACAAAAGGTTGCAGTAGTATATTAGGCAAATAAGTTCAAAGGGGCGCAACTCCTGGAAAAAAATTGAATCGTAATTTCCTGTCGATATGCACATCTACCTAGTATGTCTTTATTATCTGAAAAGGTTTCATGAAATTGTGTTATGTGGTTTGAGAGGAGTTGTGATGACAAACTGTTGCAGTAGGACATTAAATCAATTAAGTTCAAAGGGGCGTAACTCCTAGAAAAAGAATTGAATCGTAATTTCCTGTCAATATGCACATCTACATAGTATGTCCTTATTATCTACACAGTTTCATGAAATTCTGTTGTGTGGTTTGAGAGGAGTTGCGATGACAAAAGGTTGCAGTAGTATATTGGGCAAATAAGTTCAAAGGGGTGTAACTCCTGGAAAACAAATTGAATTGTAATTTCCTGTCGATATGCACATCTACGTAGTATGTCCTTATTATCTGAAAAGGTTTCATTAAATTCTGTTGTGTGGTTTGAAAGGAGTTGCGATGACAAAAGGTTGCAGTAGTATATTGGGCAAATAAGTTCAAAGGGGCGTAACTCCTGGAAAAAAAATTGAATCGTAATTTCCTGTCGATATGCACATCTACGTAGTATGTCCTTATTATCTGAAAAGGTTTCATGAAATTCTGTTGTGCGGTTTGAGAGGAGTTGTGATGACAAACTGTTGCAGTAGTACATTAAATTAAATAAGTTCAAAGGGGCGTAACTCCTAGAAAAAGAATTGAATCACAATTTCCTGTCGATATGCACAACTACTTAGTATGTCCTTATTATCTGAAAAGGTTTCATGAAATTCTGTTGTGTGGTTTGAAAGGAGTTGCGATGACAAAAGGTTGCAGTAATATATTGGGCAAATAAGTTCAAAGGGGCGTAACTCCTGGAAAAAAAAATTTAATCATAATTTCCTGTCGATATGCACATCTACCTAGTATGTCATTATTATTTGAAAAGGTTTCATGAAATTCTGTTGTGTAGTATGAGAGGAGTTGCGATGACAAAAGGTTGCAGTAGTATATTGGGCAAATAAGTTCAAAGGGGCGTAACTCCTGGAAAAAAAATTGAATTGTAATTTCCTGTCGATATGCACATCTACGTAGTATGTCTTTATTATCTGAAAAGGTTTCATGAAATTCTGTTGTGTGGTTTGAAAGGAGTTGCGATGACAAACTGTTGCAGTAGTACATTAAATTAAATAAGTTCAAAGGGGCGTAACTCCTAGAAAAAGAATTTACTTATAATTTCCTGACGATATGCACATCTACGTAGTATGTCTTTATTATCTGAAAAGGTTTCATGAAATTCTGTTGTGTGGTTTGAAAGGAGTTGCGATGACAAAAGGTTGCAGTAGTATATTGGGCAAATAAGTTCAAAGGGGCGTAACTCCTGGGAAAAAAATTGAATCGTAATTTCCTGTCGATATGCACATCTACGTAGTATGTCTTTATTACCTGAAAAGGTTTCATGAAATTCTGTTGTGTGGTTTGAAAGGAGTTGCGATGACAAAAGGTTGCAGTAGTATATTGGGCAAATAAGTTCAAAGGGGCACAACTCCTGGAAAAAAAATTGAATCGTAATTTCCTGTCGATATGCACATCTACGTAGTATGTCCTTATTATCTGAAAAGGTTTCATGAAATTCTGTTGTGCGGTTTGAGAGGAGTTGTGATGACAAACTGTTGCAGTAGTACATTAAATTAAATAAGTTCAAAGGGGCGTAACTCCTAGAAAAAGAATTGAATCATAATTTCCTGTCGATATGCACAACTACGTAGTATGTCCTTATTATCTGAAAAGGTTTCATGAAATTCTGTTGTGTGGTTTGCAAGGAGTTGTGATGACAAAAGGTTGCAGTAGTATATTGGGCAAATAAGTTCAAAGGGGCGAAACTCCTGGAGAAAAAAAATTTAATCATAATTTCCTGTCGATATGCACATCTACCTAGTATGTCATTATTATCTGAAAAGGTTTCATTAAATTCTGTTGTGAAGTTTGAGAGGAGTTGCGATGACAAAAGGTTGCAGTAGTATATTGGGCAAATAAGTTCAAAGGGGCGTAACTCATGAATAAAAAATTGAATTGTAATTTCCTGTCGATATGCACATCTTCGTAGTATGTCCTTATTATCTGAAAAGGTTTCATGAAATTCTATTGTGTGGTTTGAGAGGAGTTGTGATGACAAACTGTTGCAGTAGTACATTAAATTAAATAAGTTCAAAGGGGCGTTACTCCTAAAAAAGAATTTACTCATAATTTCCTGTCGATATGCACAACTACATAGTATGTCCTTATTATCTAAAAAGGTTTCGTGAAATTCTGTTGTGTGGTTTGAGAGGAGTTGAGATGACAAGAAACAGGACTGACGGAATGACGGACTGATGGACGGACAGACGGAAGGGTCAAAAACATCATACCCTCCGCAACTCGTTGCGTGGGGTATAATAATATCAAAGATAATACATAACCCAAAACTGTAAAATTTCCTAAAAACTAACTTTTTCTGGACAGTAACCCAACAATAAGTTGTCCTATTGGTCTGAAGATTACTTGACAGGTAGATCTAAACCTGTTTAAGACTTTCACCTATGTCAGTTTTGCTGTTTCTGCTTTAGTTTTTGAGATGAAAGCCAAAAACTTCATTTGACCTCTATGTTCTATTTAAAGAAACTGCCGCCATGTTTTTGAATGGATCATATCCCCGAATACAATCTATAAACAAGATACCCTAAGGAACATTCAATTAAAAGTTTTTAAATATTTGGCCAAGTAGTTTCAGAGAATAAGATTTTTGAAAAAGTAATTTGACTTTCACAAACTAGAGGCTCTAAAGAGCCTGTGTCGCTCACCTTGGTCTATGTTCATATTAAACAAAGGACACAGGTGGATTCATGACAAAATTGTGTTTTGGTGATGGTGATGTGTTTGTAGATCTTACTTTACTGAATATTCTTGATGCTTACAATTATCTCTATCTATAATGAACTTGGCCCTGTAGTTTCAGTGGAAATTATTTTGTAAAAATTTACAAAATTTATGGAAATTGTTAAAAATTTATTATAAAGTGCAATAACTCCTTAAGGGGTCAATTGACCATTTTGGTCATGTGACTTATTTGTAGGTCTTACTTTGCTGTACATTATTGCTCTTTACAGTTTATCTCTATCTATAATAATATTCAAGATAATAACCAAAAGCTGAAAAAATTTCTAAAAATTACCAATTCAGGGGCAGCAACCCAACAACGGGTTGCCTGAATGGTCTGAAAATTTAAGGGCAGATAGATCTTGACCTAATGAACAATTTTGTTTTTGAAAGATTTGCTAGAAATGCTTTGGGTTTAGATATATGAGCCAAAAACTGCATTTTACCCTATGTACTATTATTAGCCATGTCGGCCATCTTGGTTTGAGGGCGGGGTCATCAAACACAATTTTTAAACTACATAGCCTAATGATGATTGTTTACAACTTTAGTTAAATTCATCTTAGTAGTTTCAGAGGAGAAGATTGTAAAAGATAACAAAAATTTACGAAAAATTGTTAAAAATTGACTATAAAAGAGCAATAACTCCTTAAAGGGTCAACTGACCATTTTGGTCATGTTGACTTATTTGTAGAAATTACTTTGCTGAACATTATTGCTGTTTACAGTTTATCTCTATCTATAATAATATTCAAGATAATAACCAAATAAGGCAAAATTTCCTTAAAATTACTAATTCAGGGGCAGCAACCTAACAACGGGTTGTCCGATTCATCTGAAAATTTCAGGGCAGATAGATCTTGAGCTAATAAACATTTTTACCCTCTGTCAGATTTGCTCTCAATGCTTTGGTTTCAGAGATATAAGCCAAAATCTACATTTTATCCCTATGTTCTATTTTTAGCCATGGCAGCCATCTTGGTTAGTTGGCCGGGTCACCGGACACATTTTTTAAACTAGATACCCTAATGATGATATTGGCCAAGTTTGGTTAAATTTGGCCCAGTAGTTTCAGAGGAGAAGATTTTTGTAAAAGTTTACGGACGACGGACGACGGACGCCAAGTGATGAGAAAAGCTCACTTGGCCCTTTGGGCCAGGTGAGCTAAAAATGTAGAAAAAAAGTTTTAAGGGCAATAACTCCTTAAGGGGTCAATTGACTATTTTGATCATTTTACTTATTTATAGATCTTACTTAGCTGAACATTTATTGCCATATATACTTTCTCTCTATCTATTATAAATATTAAAGAAAATAAACCAAAACAGTAAAATTTAATAAAAATAAATTATTTCAAACAGTAACCCAACAATGGGTTGTTGAACTTGTCTGAAAATTTCATAACTGATAGATCATGACCCATTTATCACTCTAACTCCCTTTCACTTTTGCTCCAACTGCTGTAGTTTTTGAGATATAAGCCAATAATTGCTTTTGACCCCTATGTTCTGTTTTTAGCCATGGCGGCCATGTTTGTTGATGGATCAAAACTTCGGATACCAATTATAAATTAGATACCTTCAGGAACATATAGTTAAAGTCTGGAAGTATTTGGCCAAGTAGTTTCAGAGAAGAAGATTTTTGAAAAAGTAATAGACTTGCACGAAAAAATGTAAAAAATAAACGTTTCAAGGGCAATAACTCCTTAAGGAGTCAATTGACTATTTTGATCATTTGACTTATTTGTAGATTGTACTTAGCTGAACATTTTTGCCATTTACACTTTCTCTCTATCTATTATAATATTAAAGATAATAACCAATAAAATGCTCCGCAGGGCGCAGCTTGATACGACCGCAGAGGTCGAACCCTGAACAGTTGGGGCAAGTATGGACACAACATTCAAGCTTGATACAGTTCTGAATTTGGATTGTGATTAAATATTTGACACAGCATAGGTTTCTGACACAGAATGAATGTGGTCTAAGAACTTAAAAATTTTAAATTGGACATTCAACTATTATGGTCCAATATCCAAAATCTAAATACATGGTTAGATTCAGCATATCAAAGAACCCCAAGAATTCAATTTTTGATGAAATCAAACAAAGTTTAATTTTGGACCCTTTTGACCTCAATGTGGACAAAAATGATAACGGGGCCCAAAAATCAAAAATCTAAGTACATGGTTAGAGTCAGCATATCAAAGAACCCCATATATTCAATTTTTGTTGAAATCAAACAATTTTGGACCCCGATTTGGACCAACTTGAAAACTGGGCCCATAATCAAAAATCTAAATACATGTTTAGATTCAGCATATCAAAGAACCCTAAAATTTCAATTTTTGTTAAAATCAAACTAAGTTTAATTTTGGACCCTTTGGACCTTAATGTAGACCAATTTGAAAACGGAACCAAAAATTAAGAATCTTAATACACGGTTAGATTCGGCATATCAAAGAACCCCAATAATTCAATTTTTGATGAAATCAAACAAAGTTTAATTTTGGACCCTTTGGACCTCAATGTGGACCAATTTAAAAACGGGGCCTAAAATCCAAAAACATAATACACGGTTAGGTTCAGCATATTAAAGAACCCCAAGAATTGAAGAATAAAACCCCATTGAAATTGGTCAAGAAATAAGCAATTTATACGAAGTATCTTCTTTTGCACAATACTGTGCAATTGAATATTTCTTGCTATTGCGCAATACTGTACAATTGACAATTTCTTGCTATTGCGCAATATTGTGCTATTAGTTCGAGTACACGGTTATTTCGTAGTGCATTTCTTTTAGAGAATAAATGAAAATTAAAAAAATCGCACCTGCGCTTTCCCAATAATATTTTTACAGTGTGTTGTACTACTTTTGGGACAAATTATATCAAAATTATAGAAAACTTCATCGGCTCTAACTCAAAATATGGACAATTTCATGTTAAGGGGGTCTTCAAATCTTTTGACAGCTTCCGAAGTGCTAATTTTTAACATTTTTCAGCTGGACCAAATCACTACTTTACTTTAAAATTCATGACCCAAATTTTTTTACAGTGTCATTTCACCCCCCTACTTACTATTTGAGTCATAAAACATGGAGAAATAAATTTGGAAGGGGTATAAAAAAAATCGACAAGTAACACACAGTCCACACTAGGGACTATATTCGTGGACAACGAAAATCAAAGGACGATAACTGTGTACCCGGACCTATTGGATATTTCTTGCTATTGCGCAATACTGTGCAATTGAAGATTTCTTGCTATTGCGCAATACTGTGCAATTGAAGATTTCTTGCTATTGTGCAATACTGTGAAATTGAAAATTTCTTGCTATTGCACAATACTTATTATATAATAATTTACACATCCTGTTTGGTGTGTATCTCCTACCATATCATTATTAATTGCTTTTAAATATAAATCAGAAATAACCAACTTAAAATGGAAAATTTTAAAAGAAAAAAAAAAGGAAAAAAAGAAACCCCCCCCCCCCCCCCCAATTTTTTGAACCCCCTTATGATTCATCACCCCCAAACTCAATCCCAGCCTTCCCTTTGTGGTATGGTACCTTGCAGTACAATTTTAGAGAGATCCATACACTTGAACACAAGTTATTGTCTGGAAACTAGAAAAATGCTTATTTTTGGCCCCTTTTTGGCCCCCAATTCCTAAACGTTTCGGGCAATTACCCCCAAACTCAATTCCAGCTTTCCCTTTGTGATATGGAACCTTGTAGTACAATTTCAGAAATATCCAAACACTTACACACAAGTTATTGTCATGAAACTAGAAAAATGCTTGTTTTTTGCCCCTTTTTTGGCCCCTAATTCCTAAAATTTTGAGGCAATTACCCCCAAAATCAATTACAGCCTTCCCTTTGTGATATGGAACCTTGTGGTACAATGTCAGAGAGAT